AAAAAATTTAAATGAAATGGAACAACTAAGATGGAATAGTCTAAGTCAATGCCCGAGAACCTTTTTTTTGAAAAAGGGGTCTTACCTCCAGTGGCCGGACATTCTCGCCCTTTTAAAAAATTTAAAAAAAATTAGGGGAAAACCCCATTTTTTTGGGCCAAAAAAAGCCTCAGATGCACTACCTATTGTAGATCGGGGTAAAAATTTGCCAACGATATCCCCCCCCGAGGTACCAGGCGAGGGACCTATGGTCAAAATGCCAGTTTCACGAAACCCCTTTAAAGATACTTTTTTGGCATCGTTGGGCCCTTTATCACCACTTTCATCTGGGGGGACACAGATACAATTAACATTCGTTGATTAAGTTTCGAGCTTCCCTGAAGCCGTTTCCCCAAAAAAAAAAATAACTACTACAAGGTGGGTGAAGCCCTTTTGTCCCCCCTTTCCCCCGGGGGCATCCCTAGAGAAAATTTTTTCTACCATGAGACACAATTCCAAAATCTGACTTAATTTTAAAATCTATACCCAAATTCTGGGAGTGAAAACCTCTTCACCACACCCTATCATCCCAGCTGTAATGGGAGGATTTAGCGCCAGCATTCCGAAATTTTCAAAAATAATTTTTTAAAGGAAAAATTTCCCTTAAACCAAGATTTGGCCCTCTTTTCCTACCCCGTGCTTTGTTTTTCCCCTGAGGGGAAATTTCCCCGTGACTCTTTTGGGGGGTTTACCTTTTGAACTTTTCCCAAGGTAAAAAAGGGGCCCGAGGCCCATTGTCCATACTTCATGACTTATGGACTAATGAGGAGGTGAGGGGCTTTAGGTTCAGTTTTTTTACCAGTTTTCCCTTAAAACCCCAAAATCCCCAAAATTTTAGAAAAACCTCTGACAAAGTTTTGAAAAACCCAAGCTTTTCAATTGGGCCATTTTAAAAAACCTTTTTTTATTCCAAAAGTCAAGGAAAGTTTTTAAAGTAGGGATGAAGTTTTGTACTTTTGCCGATCAAGGGCAAAATAAAAAATTTTTAGTAGCATGGGAAAAATCCCAAAAATTTAAATATTAAAAATGTGTGGGAAAGTTGACTTAAACCCCAAAAGTCAAGGGAAAACCAAAGCTTTATCATATTTTCCCAAATCCTTAAGAAATAATTTCCAAGAAATTCGGTTAATTGCCTTAAAAACTTTGCTTAAATTTTTTTCCCCACGAAATTTATACGACAACGAAGAATGTAAGGGTTTGGGTAATTTTTCCCTCTAAAAATTTGAATTGAAGAAGAAACTACATGACTTGGGGATTCTGACCCATCGGGTCTACCAACATTTAAATTTAAAGAATCTTTGAATTTAAACCCTAAGGGAAAATGAACTACTTCAAAGTGGGGAGTAAATTTTCAAACGTCTTTACTGAAATTCCCGGGGTTTTCCTTTTACGTAGTCCATAAGATTGACCTTTGGACGGGGCAATCCCTATCAAAAAGAAAATTAAGCCCCTTCCAGTTCACCTTTGAGATGCATTTACCGAGAGGGAGACAAATTAATTTAAAAAAAAGAACATTGAAAACCCCGTATCTTTAATTTTCACCAGTAGCAAGGTTTTTGAAGGGAGGATAATTCATATAACTTCCCGGAATTCAGAGGGGCCCTTTAAAGCAATTTAAACCCGGGGGGCTGAGCCCTTTTTGTCCCTTTAAAAGATACGATCTACCAAATTTTTTGAAAGCTTCCTTCTTTTCAGAGAGGATATTGGAGGGCAAAAAACATCAAAATGTTAGATCCTTCTTTTAACAGTACACCGCTTTTCCAAAAACACACCAAGGACTGAAACAAATATAAAACTATGCCCCCTTTGGTTTTGGGAAACTGCCTTTTCTACCTAACCCGGGGACTGGGTAGAAAGGGCTTTGGTAATATGGGCCAAAAGTTTTCATTTATTTTTTATAACAAAAAATGTAATAACATCCCCTGTGGGGCAACATATCCAAAAAATTAACATCATTTTTGGGGTAGGTTACCCCCATGGCCTCACCTTTTTCCCAAACCGAAGAAAATGCTTCCTTTTGGGAAAAAAAAATAAATATCTTGGATAAACTTTCTAATAACCTCTGCAGCCTCCCCAGAAAAAATCAAGCTTTTTTTAAAATTTTAAAATTCCCCCAAAAACCAAAAAGGAGCCCTGCTAACTTTTTTTGGGTTTTTAAATTTTTTTTGCAAAGGTTATCCCCAACCTTACTGAAATTACAGGACTTTTCCGACTTCCTTAAAAAAGTCTGTGAAGGAAACCCCCTTTAACTTTTTTGACGTAAAACTCGGAAAAAAATTTTAATTTTAGAAATTAAAAGTATCTTTTTGAAAGACCCAAAACTTAAGATTCCAGAAAATTAAAAAACATTTTGTTAAGAACTGATGCCCCCCCAATACTGGGTTAGGTCGGGGCTACTACAATACCCCTTATGGTAAAATCCCTTTCCCTTAAACTTCCTAAACCGGAAACCTTCCTTTCCCCCAGAAAAAAGAGAAAAACTCCACCATAGAAAAAAAAAAGTTTTTGGGCCCTTTGGGTTTGGGGGTTTTCCCAAAAAATTAAATTTTTTTTGCTGGGAAAAGAATTCATTTTAGAAATGGACCACAACCTTTGATTTTACCTAGAAACTTTTAAAAGGGGAACCCCCAAAAGTCGCCTCTTGGGGGTGGGCATTTTTCACTCCAGGGTTTTAAGGGTTTCCCTTTGTTTTAAAATCAATGGTTCAGTCCCAAATTTCTCTGACTGGTTTTAAATCGGGCATCCCCCGTAGAAGATTTTTTGCCTTACCAAATTCCATATGTTAAAAACTTTTTTTCCCCGCCTATTCCCCCTTATCTCCTTGACTATAAGTCCTTGGATGGGGGGTTTTGAGGGGAAAAATTTAATAGATAGGGGGTAGCAAAGGGGGTTATAATTTAAAAAAAGTTTCCCTTGCCGGCTCTTGTTAAGGAGGGGAAATCAACTCCCGCTATTCCCCCCCCTTTTTTTTCCCCCCCCACAAATGATAGTTTTTGCCGGGTGCTTTTTTTAAGGAGGGGCAGTTTTAGCTCCCCCCCACCCCTTCCCCCCCTTTTTCCCCCCCCCCCCAAAGGTGACTGTGGGGCTCCAGTCCAAACAGTAACACAAACTCACAGCCCCAGCAAATATTTTTTGGTGACAAGGGGTCCCCCTGCCAATCAAAACAGAACGAAAGGAAGGCTGGGCGTCCTGAAACTTTCCCCCTTTTTTGGGTTTAATTACCTGTGCACCTGTAGAAGTAGCAGGAAAAGTAAAGCCTCAAAAATTGCATTAAAAAAAAAACCCGTTTTCCTAAACTCCCAACTGGAATTCCGGGTAACCCCTGTAAGAACGAGCCGGTGGGGTTTTCATCAACACCTGCCCAACCCCCCCCCCCCTCAAACGGCCAAACCGGGTAAAATTTCAAAAACAAACAGTGGCAAACCAACACCAGACCCCCAATTTTAAATTTGCTTGAATTTTATTTATCATTTTATATCTTTTATTTTTTTATTTTCCTTTTAAAGTAGGGTTAATACTTCATATTTTAAGTTTTTTATAATTTTTTATTTTCCCATATAATAAAATGTTTATTTTTTCTGTTATTATTTCTTTTTTCCCTGAGGGGACCACCTTGGGGAAAACTTCCCAATTTTACAGGGGGGAGTAAAACCCTTCCCCAATAAGCAAATTTAAAGCGGTAAAAGGGTTTTATTTCAAAATTTTTACTGGAATTTTTCAAATTTGAAATCACGCGTTTTTTTGATTTTTTCCATACAAATACATAAAAATACATAAAATACATAAAATACATACTACAAACTAAAAGCATGTATGGATAAGTGATAAATTTAAAACCATCCCTATACCCCTTTAAAAATTTTTCTTTTTTCCCCGTATTGTGCCCTTTTTAGTAAACGGGGGGGGGGGGGTTGTGGTTTCCCAAAAACTGGCCCCTTTTAAAACGAAAACTGATTCATCACATTTTACAGGGTGGGTTTTTTTTTTAAAATGGGTTTAAACTCTTTAACCTGATTAAAACATTGTAGAACGTCCCCCTTTTTAAAGGCGCCTTCCCCCTTAAATAATGGTTAAAAAAATTTTTTTTGGGGTTTTAAAGTTTGGGCATTTTTGGTTTAATTTTGAGCCCAAAAACCAGAAAACTTCTCTTATGGGTTCCCCCTTTAAAAATTTTAAAACTTTTTGTGTTTTTCAATTTTGTTTTCCGTTTAAAATTTTTGGTTTGTAATTAAAACCCTTTAATATGCCAGTTTTATTTAATTTTTAGTCAAAATAAATAATAATTTTTAAAATTTTAAATTTGGTAAAAAAAATTTTTTTTTAATTATCAAAAAAATTTAAATTTTTTCAAATTTCTTCATACTTAAAACTTAAAAAATTTTGGGTATAAATTTTTGGGCTTTGGGCCCAATTGTCCCTTTTTTTTTTAGAAGAAAAATGGAAAAAAAATAAAATTCCCCAATTTCCCTGTGATAAATTTCCCATTTCCTCTTCAATTGCCATCTCCTTCCCAAAATTGATAAAAACCCCGGGAATTCAAATTCCCAACTGCGTTCCAAACTTATTCACCCGGGAAAAATTTTTTAAGGGAAAAGCACCCTAAAGAGATAAAAAGAGAATTCCCCCTCTAAATTAACTAAATGCTGGGATTCTTAATTGGGAAATTTTTAATTAGTTTAAGGGTGCTTGTTTTAATTTTTTTTTTAAAATGGCAAATCTTTTGAAAACCAAATCTGATAATTGAATTAATTTTAAATCAATGCTACACTCTGCACTAATCTTTTATCCGTACATTGAAGTAACACTGACCTGGGGTAATGCAAACTTTCTCGATCGCTAAACGACAGAAATACATAGTTTACTTTCACGTTTAAAAATATTTAAAAAACCCATAGTGTAACACCTAAATGCTTTGCACAATAAATTATTCCTAAGCAACAAGTATAGCAAAAATTTCTGACCTGTAATGAGCAGGACAACTGTCTTGTTAGTCTTCAGTCAACTTACTCACTGCTTCACGCTTCTTACTTCACACACAACCAACAGATGAATGAAGGCACAAAAGAGTTGTAACCAGTCACTGGTAAGCGATACGTTATCTCTTATCACAATCTTAGACAGCTTACAGGGTTTTATTGTATCTGGGAGGCACTTAAGAATACACACAGACACACACTGTGCTTACGACACTAGTGTTATCATTATCACCGGAAACAAAGTCATTATAGAGTCAACAGTATCATAATACAATCAACAGCTAATAACGGAATCACGTTAGTAATTAGTAACAGAGCAATCATTAGTGAAATAAAAACCGCAGTTAGAAAAGCAGGAGTCAATAACGAAATCATGTTTGCGGTTACCAGTGCATGAGCCTAGAACGAAATCAAGTCAATAATCAGTACAGCAGCAGACAGTAAAGTTGCAATCAATAGAGGAATTAAGTAAGTCGACATTAAAGCAGCAGTGATTAACACAACGAAGTCAAAAGTCGGTAAAGAATCAGACCATAATAGAAAGACGTCAACAATCAAACACATATTTAAGTCAATAATTAGTAATGGCAGCGTCATTAACAAAATGAAGTCCCGAGTCAAAAATCAGCAGCTAATAACGAATCAAAGCCAATCAATATAAATACAGGAGACATGTCTTCACTAACTAAAATACACAGTAATACATGTAGGTTCCTCAAGACTATAACCACATTAAATTTCTGAACCCACCAGACGGGGTCGTAAGGACCACACTAGACATGGTGGTCAAGACCCAAAACGAAAAGATCATCAATATACATCACACTTAGTCGTCAAGACAACACCTGACTCAGCTTCAAAATAATATCAGATTAAGTCGTAAGACGCAATAATGCCGCCACCATTTCTTGGAAGGGCCTTGCCGGGAGAATACCGGCGAATTTTTAACAACAACAACAGTAAGACGCAATAGACTTGGTAGTTAAAAATCAGAGAAACGATCGTGAACAATAGTTCAAGTCGTTTAAGAACCATGACTATGACTGGTTCTGTATATAGGTCCAGACCTGTCTTCAGCACCATATCAGTTATTGAAAGTTGCAGATCTAAGTGTACAGAGAACTTTTACTGCACGTATAATTCAATCAACACCTTAACTACTGGAACGTCTTGAAAGCACTTGACTTGTACTCGTTGGAACGCAGGAGAGAGAGAATGTATCATTTCTACACTGAAAATCTAGAAGGAATGGTCCCGAATCACACACAGAAATCACCCCTATGAAAGTAAAAGACTGGTCAGGCGATCCAAAATACCACCCCAATAACAAGAAGTGGCGCCAGTGGTACACAAAGAAACCGTAAGTGTCCGGGGCCCAAATGACTGTAAAACAGCCGCCCACCAAGCTAGAGGAAATTACTAATAGGCCCCTGCTGGCTTCACGAAGCCTGGACAGATACCTAAAGTCAGGTGCCGATCAGCCGGGCTGTGTTTCGTACGTTAACTACGTGCGGCCAGCAGTAACAGCCTGGTTGATCGAGCCCTGATCTACCGGATGCCTGGTCGTGGACCAGCAGCGGGCGTTGATTCCCCGAATAACCCCAGGTAGACTCCAGGTCTAAGAAACCTAACAGACACTACTGGAAACACCACTCCAGACTTGCTTTGACACCACACAATGCTGTAGGCGGTAAGAACCGCATCAGATGACATCGTCAAAACTACATGAAACTCGATCTAATAATACAACTTTACTCTTTATGTAAAGCTTCATGTAGTCATACGAAATACCTGCACAAGGCGAACTGTCTATCCCCAAAGAGTAATCCAGGCTCTGCACAACCAATCATCTTACAGAAACTTTTTTTCTAAAGTCAAAGATTCAATTAACATTCTGAATAAGGAAAGAATCTTATGCAACCTAATTTGTAATCACTGTTTTTCAGACAATGGAACTAGAACTCTTCTCCTGCTGAAGAGACGACCTGTTAAATCTATCGTCTCAGGGTGATTGACTGATTACATCGTCTTCAAATCTATTACTGCTCCTTGCCTACGTTCTGTACTTCGACTGAATAATCCTACTGTGGTAGGCAAACTTTTCGAATAAAGAGGCCTAACTGTAGCCAATAAGGTTTAGTCTTGACTACCTAGACTGTATTCTGTCTCCGGTTTTCTTTGCTCTTCCCCGATATTCATGCTACCCTACTACTTACGAAATCACTTCCTATCAAGTGTTTCTACCACTCTATTTCTGATTTATTTATCTTATCCATTACATTGCATGGCAAATATCTGTTGATACTGGGTCATAGGTTCAAAATGATTACCTGGCTTCTAAATATTAGAACAGTGTGGTGTGTGTGGGTGTAACTTTCAGCTAGTTGTGGGTTGCACTGGTCGAGTCAAAAGCTCCTGGCCTGCCACGTGTGTGTTGGTAAATACGCCCTACTGAGAAGACTTGAAAACTAGAACGCGGTCTCGTAACTAATTAATTAATGAGGAAGCGAATAAGAGTATAAAATTATTTTGAAATGTCCTTTTATTGATAATTAAGTTGTAAATAAGTAAAAATATGGGTATTTGATTTTAAACTGTGTTTGACAAATAAATGACTCACGAGATTTAAGACTAGGTTGAGGACCTGCCATTATATGGTGTTTAGGGACTATTACGATGCTCCCCTTACTACCCATAGTTGTCTTGGATATTAATGTAAACACAATGTATAACTCCCAATTAGTTTGAGGCATAACAATTTCTTGGAAGGTTGTAATAATGAGAACAAGGGGGATAAGTTTTTTGATATCACAGTGAGGGGCTTTATGAATATCATCATGTAGTGTGAAAATCCCCCATGGAGGCTGTCTTGATAACGAAGCGAGGACGGAACACAAGAGGTACGCCTTAATTCTGTTCTTCCTAGGTTGTCAGAGTTTCTCTCTTAATATAAGGATAAGCTATCGTTATGGAAACATTTTCCATGTCTATATCCTTCTCAACCCATCTTCGCATTTATATCTCCTAGCTTCCAGTCCTAATTTTCTCACTTTTTACATTCTCTTCTTCTTTTCCTCTCTGGTGATGTCATAAATGTGGGATACCAGGGTCAGAGAAGCCTGTCTAAGGGCAAAGGTTAAAAGTTACACACATCTCAGCATAACCAGCCACCCAGGGCTATCTCTCATCAAAACAGACAGCGCTAAACCACATTGGGTAAAAAAAAACTGTGTAAAAAAATTTTTTGGTTGGTTAACAGAGGTTAGCAGAAAGCCTTGTTAGAAATATAGCTATTTATTCATCATAACACTATATACACACTCTAGAAAACACCAACGATGTATCTCCTTCCTAAAGGGCGCAGGCCGCCAAGTTTACTGTTTTTTTGTTTTTTTATTTTTCAACCGATTATTTATATTTTATGTGTACTTTTAGAAGGTCCTATGTAGAAGCATTGACCAAAGTTTTCAGTATGTTTGGCAACAAACAACAGAGAAAAAAATATAACCAAATTTTATATATGCACACGACTGACAAATTGGCAACAACGAGAGGCACTTCCGACAATCCCAACTGTTAGAATACAACAGCATCATTATAAACATAGCCCATTTCATCTAATAATCTTATTATCAAGTTAAAAAAAATACATTAGAACAAATTTTTGCTTTCGCCAAAATATCTATCTGCCTTTTAAACCCCGCATAAAATAAAAAATATTTGATATATTCCAAAAAATTTTTATGTCTCAATTTCAAACACACTTTGTTTTATATGATCTGTGAAAGATCAATCAAAAACAAACATTAATAAAATGAGTTTAGTGAGCTGAAATAAGTGAATAATTTACTTCCGAGATATAGGCCTAGAACGTCGCTGGCCTACCGTCTCACAAAAATTTTTTTTATGCGCGGAAATCGTGTTTTTTTCGGTGTATTTCTTAGTAAACTGATGTTCTTAGTGCAGTTATGCTCATCAACAAAACGACTCAAGAAATCGTAATGACACATTGCAATAAACCATATACCCCCGGCCGGGATTGAACCCGCGGTCATTATCTCAAAACCCAGCCGTCGCGTTAGCCACTAGAACCACTGAGCCACAATAAGATTCATCCAACTAGGTATATTTCTACAACCATAGTAAAGTTAGCACCGACGGCTGGAGGTTTTGAGACTCTAGAGACCGCCCCGGTTCCAACCCGCCGGGTATGGTTTATTTGCAATCGTGTCATTACGATTTCTGAGTCATGAGAGAGACGGCAGTGAAGCGGGACTTAGAGCTTGAGTTCGTCACCCTCAGCTAGCTGGAGATTCGTCTGTAAAAACTTGCATTGGGTCACAGTGGTGCCTGTGCTAACTTTCCTATGGTGTAAAAATATACTAGTTGGATGATTCTTATTGTGGCTAGCTGTCTAGTGGGCTAACGCGAACGGCTGGAGTTTGAGACTCTATAGAACCGCGGGTTAACCCCGGCCGGGGTATGGTTATCCTCTTCAAACACCGGTTTTCTATCACTCACATACCAAGACAAAGAAGAAGGACGAGGAGTAACTCATTAAAATCGAATATTGCTGTGGACTCTCGCTATATTTATGGTCCCCCTCGACATCGCCGCCACCATACTGATATAAATGACTATAATTTTTTTATTTTATTTCTTGGTAGAATACGTTTAGAACATTGATTCTATTAGAACCATTGTGTTGCCAAAGAGTTAACTATTTTTCTGTAGAATAACTCATTTTCCATATTTTTTTCGATTTTTGGTGTATTTAAGGCTCATACTTCGGCGCCTCTTCGGCGGCCTCTTCGCGCGGCTGCGCCCAAATAGCGGAGCACAAGAAGTGGCAGCAGGACAGTCCGGAAAACATGAACACTTATCCACAATGCCAGGCGGTGTCCCTTCACTACTCCAATACCGACCCCATTTCTATTTCCTCAACTCAACGCCACAGCACCCTGTACCATTTCAGAGACTAGGTGGACATACAGAAAAGCCCATACAAGAGCCTATGGGCCTGAATTAGTTAAAACAAAAGACACAAATACAAAACTTACTTAAATCACGATG